TGTATGCGCTATCTTTCAGCTTATCATAACGCATCCTGGTCTTGAAGCCACTTTTGATGCGCATGCTTGCTTATCCGCCATTCTAGAAGGAAGCGAAGTTAGAGAAGCTGGCATTTGTTGCAGATGTTACACAGCTAATTGACAGCGGACTTCCGAGCATCTCCGCATCTAAGACATCATCGCGGGCTCCATGCAAAAGCTTTAAGTTTGAGACTGGAATCAGCATCTAAAAGCAAGCGGCAGCATGTCGATTATCGTTTGGATTTTGTGACTGCTAAAGAATGGTCATGTCCGTTGGAGGAGCTCGAAGGACCAACCTTGTCTGATCGCAACGCCGCAACGCCACACCGCTGTAACTGGACATGATCTTGATACCAAGGCCCCTATCCATCGGTCTCGGTGCGGACTTTGGGGCTTATGAATCTGCCACACGACGCGGGCTTGTCAGGGGTTGCCTGAAGGTAGCGCAATCCTGCTGTTCGCCGAGTGGCCCTCATCTCCGGAATCGCAATGAGGGACATAGTGTGGACACGATCTACAACAACGAATGTCCTGCAACAGTTCGCTATTGAACGATGTGAGGAGATGGCCAAAGATGTCAGCAAACCTTCGGCATTTGAGTAGCGGACATATGGGCTGCTGAACAATCTGCGGCTTTGATGCATTGGTGTCGAGCGGCACGCATCGAAACGCTTCTCACTTTACGCCCCTCGACACGGAAACCCCTTATTTGCCTTCTTTGCATCGTCTCAGATTTCCATGAAGAGGATATCCGTTGCGCAACGGCGTCTCCCAGCGGAATGTGTGAGGATTAGCTACTTCAGGGGCTGGCTCGACGAGAAGCCCTTATGAAGCTGGTTTGATGGTTTACGCATCATGGGGCGTCTCTTCCAAGTCTGCCATGATCCGCCATTATCACGGAACAGCGTCACAAAGGATGATTGGCTGTGCTTCAAATCAACGCCCTTCGGCTTTTTGCCTTACCATACATCATTCCGAAAGGATGTGCTTCATCCGAATCGTCTCGGAAGCTCATCGACGGGTTATCTTCGCTCCCCCACTGGATCGATCGGCTTTCGCTATATTCAGGGGTGAGAGAGTCTCTTACCTTGGAGGACCACATATCGTATCTGTCTCGCTCCAGAAAGACATCATTTCTTAACAGAATCTTGCTGCTGCGATTGGCATTTTGTTTAAGTACTTCGAAACTCACCCCAATCCCGCCTTACTCTGTCGTCTTCTGCTTGGAGGTAGCCAAGCCTGACTCGCCCGGAATCAGGACTCCAACACCTGTGTTTCAGTAAAATGGGTCTATGCTATACACGTTCGATATTCATGGCTTGCTGTATCGAGTTTGGCTATCAGCCTGCCGCTAAAAAGATCTACCGGTTCAAGAGAAGGCATAGCTCATCACGTATCAAGATTTCGAAGCTTACGTCTGCGGACATGGGCCCGGGCATTATCGAAGTCACGTTCAAGAGTCAAAGACTATCAACAGCGGTATCACATAATGTCAACGAGTAATGCGCGACATCACGGACTCAAGGCGAGGTAAGCAATAACGAGATGCCGCTGCGTGTGGCCGACTTCACCCATAACCCGTCTCAACTTGGTCGGGTACCACCACAGTCGCGCATTGAATGCATACACGACTGTCGAGCGTACTAGCACTACATGGTGGCAGTTGAGTCTCTCCATCCCGATGCGCAATGCTGAACGACTGCATGCCGTGAGTGCAGGCTTGGGTGAAGGCGTGGGTGCAGACATGGATGTGCGGACATCCGCTGCCACACATGAGCGACGTCAGACCGGACCGGCATGCAGCGCAAACACCACGATCTAAAAGAGTCTACAATCCCTCAGGAGATGTGCGCCATCGAGGCTATCCTGGTCCTACCTGGCTTGACGTACATGTCATGGCTGGTTGTGTACATAGCCTGAGATGTCACACACGCTCGAGAACGTGCAACTCAGGCTACAGGAGAGAGCTCAACGCGACGAGCAGCAGCTCACGCCTCAGCGGAGCTTCGTCTCACTGGCAGACCCTTGCCTCCTCGCCGCCGTGGACGATGTGAAGCAGTCTCTGCACTCGCCGCCGCTGCCCCGCCCCGCGTAATCCCCGCACAAGCACGCGCCCCTTCGCGCCTCGAATATCAACAAAGGCCACCATGGCAACCTCGAAGCCCTTTGGCTACATAATTGCTCTAATCTTGCCAATATCTCGTACGGCGTCTGGCTCGTCCAGGCGTCGTACCCTCACCGGAGTGGCGGGTCATGGCCACTCGGTGTTGTATTGAACATGTGCTAACTCGTGAATACGCAGCTTCGAGTCCCACCGGGCTCACCCTACGGGGAGGTGTAACAAGCCCTCTATTTTGCTATTTTTTTTTATCTTTTCTACACCACAATGCTTAAGCAGAGCGTATGCGAACAAAGGCCGACGCAGCCCTGTCTTTTCTCCGATTACTATTGCACTGCTAAGATAAGATTTGAAATACCTATAGAGGCATGTGCAATCTTTTATGCTTGTCTAGAGTTGCTCTTTTATGCTTTTCTAAAGAGGCGCATGCCCGCTTCTTAGTCTTCGCTTCTGCAGTAGCAGTAGCAGTAGCAGCAGCAACTTCGTTTGCGAATGATGTCTACTTGGACTTCGCCCTTTTGCGTCTAGAGATCAGACTTAGCAGAGACGCAACTAGCTACGTTGCTCCAAGGTAAGCTGCTTTGACAGCAAGTCTGCACTTGTCGGCGTGGACATGATATGCCAGCTGAAGGACTCGAGCGCGGATGGCTTAGGCCAGGACGCGACAGCGGGTTAATATCCTCCAAGCGCAGCATTGGCATAATTGCTATATACTCGCACTCGAGAAATACTACTGCAATTCTATGGCCACGATCTATGGAGTATCATGCGAGATGACAGCGATACGCACCGCTTGATCGACTTTAGAAGCGCCAAATCGCACCTGGCCGCTGCAACATTCGCCTTGAGGGCCTCGAGGATACCTGACGGCATGCGCAGCACAAAGATGTAGACATCACGTAGGCCTCACGATCCAGCATGCTGCTGACATGCCTCAAACTTCCATGGTGTGGATACTGCTGCATCGCTGCAAAGGTGGGTATGGGTTTCCTTTCTATTCATGTATCTTTCCTGCCTCATCTATCCATGTCCGATGAGATTCTGCGCCGCGGCGCCGTTATCTAGGTACTAAGAGCTATCCATTACGCCGTGTATCACCCCGTCTATGCCCAGGTCTAGTCCGGAGCGAGCTATCGGGCGCGAGGGTACTGCCAATGGTGCCAGTATGGGCTGTCGCGTCAATCCCCCTTGAGTCTTCCGCCCCTACATCAGGCCAAGGCCAATGGGAGCTACAGCTCGTTCGCGAACAACGATGATCCGGCCATGCGAGTGTCCATGTAGTTCTGGACACTTGTAGCGGAGTCCACCTCCGGGTCGAGGAGTACGAAGCGCTCGCCCCGGTTTGAGGTGTTGCCGTCGTAGATGTACTCGACCCGCGTCGGCGCCAGGCGGAGCTTTCGTTGAATTAGCTTGCGGAGGCGGGTCAAAGATAGGAGCACGTTGATCTCGAGTTCGAGAACCTCGTCGCGGTCCGCGGCGCTCTTGTCGAAAACTTCCTGTTGCAGAGGATTGGTTAGCCACGATTTTCTAGGCTGGGCGGATGTGCCTTCGAATCCCAACTTACTTGAAGATTCAAGGCAGTCCGAGCATGAAGCCTCTGTCTTCGCCGATCTCCCCAGGCCTGGTAGTGGGCGGCGCGCTCTCCCCAGTACTTGGCCTTGCTGTCGAGAGCTACGACCTCGCGCTGTGTACCTTCGCAGATGACCATCTTCTCCACCTCCTTTCTGCGTGTATCGGCCAAGTACCTCCTTGTCGCTTCCTCCGACCTCTTCATCTCTGGCGCGGGCATGCCTAGCTCGAATGTACGAGTATCGGCTTCGTGTCCGGTCGCGGGGTGCTTGTAGGGACGGTGGCCTGTAGGCCAGCAAAAGGTGTCAGTCGCGGGTCGAAAAACACGCTTTCGCTCGGGCAAAAAGACTTACTATGGAGTTCGGAGAGATATCTTCAACAAGATACCAAAGTCTTGGTCAAATCGGAACGTGGTGGTGCGGGTGTGTGGCGGGGTAGCGAGAGGGAGTTGCGTCTTGATAGAGGCTTCGTCAATACGACCCGACGCTATGACATTTCGACTGTACTCGTCAAACTCTTACACACCTGTTACAGAGGTATTTTGCATCTGCGACGGGTCGCTGGACGAGGAGAGTATGCCAGAGGCCTGCGACAGCGTCTTCTCAATCTGTAGGTCATTACGCCCTGTACAGCTACCAGTAGACTTCAGACGTCCGTTCACCTCCGGACGAGGCGCAAACGAACCCCTGCATGGAGCACGCATCTCTTTTGTGACTGAACCTACAGCTATGCGCCTGAAGCCGCTTCTGTTTTGGCAACGACAGCCTCACATCACAAAATCATGATTTACGCCCGGCTGCGACTCTTCATCTTCTCATCATGTTCTCTTTGCTTTCCTCCTTTGTTCGATCTTCCACGTCGCTTTACTTCCCAAGCCGACAACTTCCTTGTCTTTTTTCACATCGTCTCGCGTCGTTGGGGAAAGGCGTCTCGTGGACGAGAAGTACTAAATGCTGGCGAGCATGCATGGGCAAACAGGCTTATAGAGCTTGCGTTACAATGTAGAGGCGATATAATGTTATCGTTTTCAGGGGCCACGGCCGGGAGATGGGGAAGATATAAATGGCCGTTTGACGTCTTATAGGTTTGAACACCAACAGAACTATCGTCACTGCTCCATGGCGTATGTAAACATATGAGGGTGATGCTGATTGCAATGAGTCTACCTATTTAGTTCTACACTCTCTTTCTAACACAACACTCTTGCACCGTTACTCATTTCATATCCACAATGCTCATTACAATCTCGTCCTACAACTTTGATGCCCATCACTACGAGTACTAAAGCAGCTCACTCCTCCCTCCAGTAGTCACGCGTCATCTCAGGATACAGCGCCTGTAAGCCCGCGACGAGCACACACAAGACGAAGCTACAGTCAACCGAAGTTGCCCGGCAGTATAGCCCAATGGTTTCTACGACCGCCATTCCTCGTCCGCAAAAAGCGAAGACCCGCCCATGTTCTCGTCCATGTAGTGTCGAACGCTAGTCGTCGAATCTAGCTCGTGATTGAGTAGCAGGTATCGGTTGCCTATCAAGACGTCAGCGAAAACAGGACGTTTTTGAGTGCGCCACCCCAGATGCTGTTTCAAGTGCTTCCATATACTAGGGTTGTAGCGCGCTGTTGCCGATTTCCCAACCTATATTGCTGACATGTATGAACGAAGAAACGACGTACTACTCATACGTTAGCGAAATGTCTTGAATGTATTATTAGTGCGGAACTGACCCGATTCCAGCATGCTTACCGCAGTCAACATATCCATCCTCAGTAGCAGGCATACCGAGTTGTTCTTGAAGCTTCTTGCGGGCCGCGGTGATGACGACGAGCTTTTGGATCTGCTTCCCAAGGTCGTAGTGTTTTCCCACCGCATGCGCTGACCATTGTTCCTGCAATAGCTCATTAGCGAACTGTCGATTCGGGATGATGGGTACCTGAGAGGGAAGAATGCGTCTTGTTGCCCAAAGTACATACAAGCGAAAGTTGAGCCTCCTGTCTACGGACGCCATTTCGAACTGATTGGAAGAAATCTCGCTCTTGCCGATAGTGGAGGGCCTTGTTGTTGTAGGTCACGGCCTCGCGCTGCAGGTCATCGCAGAGACGCATCTTCGCGTGCTCTTGGCGCTGCTTGTCTTGCCAGAGTTTGCGGAGACGTTCTTCGGTATTGGTTGAGGACATCGCGGTGAATCTTCGTCGACTTGGCGGTGGTGTGTGTAGTGAGGTCGAGGGACTATAGATTGGTCAGTAATGTAATCACACGAGATTTGACCTAGTAGGAGTAACCTTAAATGACTTGTGGCTGTTGTAGCGATGCTCGTGAACAAGGAGTTGAATCAATTGGAGGGCGGTGCTTTCTCTTTCTAGAAGCTAATCGAGGAGCAATGAAAGATTGGGAACCTAGTTCAGTCGGATTCGTCTGAACCTTTCACTGTTTACAAGTGCTGGAATGTTAGTCACTGCGCGAAGGCACCTACTTGTGACACTGAAAGTTGCGGTTGTATTAGCGAGGCCTTGAGCGGATGCTTCCCGGTATAAGAGACGCTCCATAACGCGAGCACGACGGAGTAGAAACCCTTGAGCCGATGGTACTGCGTTGAAAACCGTGTGTACTATATGAGTGTTTTGCGCAACAAGTCGAGTGAGCCTAGTCTACTACGATGATCTGCAAGTGAAAGGAAGAGACCGAGTCATTCCCCAACCTACCATATTGTCGCGCCAGTAACAGCATGACATTTTGACATGAGTGGAGGATTTGATGCTAGACATTTCGAGAAATTGACGTAGAAGAACGCGTGCACATGGCCTGAAGTGTGGACAAACATTGCGGGATGGTGGTCGAGAAGCTTCCCGCGGTGAGTCACCGTAGCTCTGCTGGACGCCGCATCCCTGCCACACCAACAGCGGCAATGTCATGCAATACTGAAGTCTCTCGAATTTCCACTGAGGTTAGAATAAGGATCCAGCTAAACATGGGCAGCAGGGCCGAATGCGCCAGTTGTCATGCGTGCCGATCCGTGGTAACTCTCGGCTCGTCGGGGGGATGGTGCGGGCGACACTAAGCCTGTTTCTCCACTAGCCCTCCTGCCATTGGGTGTCTTCGCACACATGCCACAGCGACCCTCTTTAACCTCTCAGCCCTAATTCCTCTGCGCTGCGACCGACCGAAAGCGCCAGTTACTAAAGCAGCTCTATGAGACCCTTCGTGCCCCGTCGCCGTGATGTTCATCGCACCCGTGCCCTCCTCCATCACCGCCTAGGACTTCCCAACGAACTCGTCCTCGACATTCTGGACAAGGCTCGTTACTGGGTCGAGCACGTCCATGAAAATGACAGGACCCTCGTGATTCTGGACGAAGAGTTCTCCGACAACTTCTCCGCCGCGTCTCCATTAATGAGGATAATCTTTGACAAGTCCGAAACCACGCATCACGAAACGCCCAGACTCAAAGAGATAGAGTTTCTGATTGTCAGCCACGACCAGGGCTGGACAACAGAGGGTACCATTGGCACATACGACACCTCTTCATGGTTTGAGGTCTCTATCGTGCGCCCGCAGTCTCCGCCCGACGACATGGAAAATGAAATCGTCGCTGCAAACTTCGAGGACAACATGTACCCCCAAAGCAACATCCACAGCGTCATAGACAACATATGCGGTGACCTGGGCTTCAGCAATGTACCACGCTCGCCATCGACTACGGAGCCACAGAGGTTACACTGCGACGAGATGCGGGCTATGACATTTCTACATGATGACCCATCACGCCCGATGGGTATTGAGGGTCAACACGCTTGGTATCTGCAAGGCAACGAGGTCGCAAGAGCCACGTCTGTCTTTGATGGCGACTTCATTCGGAGATATCGTGTTGTCTGGGGATGTAGAGAAAATCCAATATGGGAAGGCAACGAAGGCTCTGGACGTGGCGAGAACTTAATTGACTCTCTACAAGATGGCGATTGGATATGCGTATGGGCAAGAGCGAAGGTGAGCTGGTTTGCTTCAGTGTTGTTTGCATTGACTAATATAAGAATCAGAGAAGAGGATGGGAAAATCACGTCCACGGCATACGTGTCATCACGCGCTACACCGTATAGCCAGTACCAAACACGCTCATAGAGTGTGCTTTGATACATCTTCATCCTACGCAACTACCTGCGTACTGCAATCTCCTCAGTAACAGAGGTCACTGTGTTCGGTGCCACATGCATCGGAACGTTTGTTCGCTTGTAGCTTGACGTCTTCCGACATACCCTCATCGGAGGCATCAACCCCATGCGACAACACCCCCTCTTGTTCTCCAGAAGCGACAAAATCACCAGTAGCATCATTGATGTCAACTGGTCCTCCGCGGACCTTGGCTCGAGCTTTTGCGATGAGCTCAGCCTTCGCACGATCCCGTTCGTCAGCTGCCGCTTTCAGGTCCGCTTTGAAGGCACGAGCAGCGGCCGCCTTTTGCTCAAGTGCGGCTTGCTTGGCCGCCTCAATCTGGGCCTTCCGTTCCTTGCGGGCTTCGGCTCCACCCTTGGCTGCTTCGACCCGCTTTTCTTCGGCCCGTTCAAGCTCGGCGGCGCGCGCGCCTATACGAGAGAACGGTGCAGGTGTCGGCGATGCATCAAAACGGGGTTTTTGGGCAGCAACATCTGATTTAATCGATGACGATATGCGTGCAGGAGCAATTGACTTCGTGGGCGCACATGGTGTCTTCGGACGATGTTTCTTCGCGGCTGGCGTTGTGGGCATCTCTGTTGTGCGCCTGGGTGTTGAAGCCTTTACTGGCCGCTCCTCATGCTCTCGCTCACGAGATTTCAGCTCATCCACGTATTCGTAAGTGACGGTGGCACATCGAGCCTTCATCACAGGATCGGCTGCGTTCTCGAGCTCGGCTTCTTCCCAGATCTCCACCAGGCTCTTGAGCTCGTCCACACTCAGACGTGCCTCAGCCTCACGACGTTTCTCGCGCAGCACTCGCCAGTATTTGACTTGCTCACGTACCCGAGCGCGCATCGAGTTCTTCTGCTCCTGTATCGTAAGCGCTGTTGTGCAGTCTTCCAGTATAGAGCGAGGAGAATGGTGAAAGGCAGAGGCTTCGTCAATGACCTCGTCATCCTTCCCTGCAAGCTCAGCGTCGTAGACAGCTTTCTGGCTCTGGTCGTCTAAGACATCAACCGCCTCATGAATTTTCTCAAGCGCAGCAGCACGCGCGACGCCCTCAGCACCGATCATCTCCGGGAGCTCATCAAAGTACTTCAGCACCAGGGCTTTGTACGCTGCACGTATGACTTCCGGTGTTGCGTTCGGGGCCAGCCCAAGTGTTGCATAGTGTGTTCGAGTCTTCATGTCGAAATTGGTATTCTGGTCCATTTCATCGGTATAGGCATTTGGTGGCCATGCCGGTGTACCTGGAAGTATTCTTATACATCTTCACGCCACGGAGTGTGTAGACATTGTGTATTGACGACTCACTCGACACAGCGTTGCGATCACTACTGACACGCCCATTACGTGTCTCAGACATACAGCAAGACAAGAGTTATCTGAAGAGGAGTAAAGGTTGCGTTCACAAAACATCGGTCACGATGCATCGGCGAGACCGCACAAAGTGTGTTTTGGGAAAACTGGACTTTGCCCAGTGCCTCCGGCTCAGCATTGCCGCGAGCTCACTGCGACCTATGGACGCCTCATGCAGTTACTGCCCCACCCAGGCGCGGATCTTCGCGATTACGAACATGCGAGCAAGACACGGGAACACTGCGCGCTGGTATTGCGACGCTGTTCGGCGGCGCAATTTAGGTAAAAGCGTGGAGGACGTTGACAATCGTATGAGAAATATGGCGCAATCCGACGCGATCGCCATTTCCCATGGCTGCCAAAAAGGCAATTGTGGCAGTGGGGTGCGCTGCCCATAAGCGCATGCCGGTGGGCATTTGTGTGATTCTCATAGGGTGGCACACCATCGCGCCTGCAGGGAGCGAACGTCAACCCTCAACCCCCTCAAAAGGCCAGCGCGAAGCTCAACAACATTCCCCCGACCTTGAGGCCGACGATCAGAAAACGAACGACAAAAGGAAAAGACGCGATTGCGCGAGAACGCATGTTGCTGATGGAGAGTAATGTCGGAAACTTATCTTCAGCAAGCTTTTGGGCAGCCGACCTTCACCGACGTACATGCGAATGGGAATTCCTCTGGACGTGATCTCTTCGATATCCTCGACGTCGCCAATCTCCATCACAACCACGCATATGACCCCAGCGGACAACACCTACATTCACTGCACATACAGTCTCAGGATGTCATCGCGCAGACCCAGCAATTTGCGTATACATTGCACAGCAGTGGTGTGTCGGCACCAGGTAAGCGCAACCCCTCTATTTATCTCTATCCCATCAATTTCATGTACATCATCCCCAACGAATTCTTTGTCCCTCCCATTAGGCTCTTTGCCTACGTATGGACGTCGTTCCTGTGCCTCTGAGTTGCCAGGCCTGGATGACGTTTGTTCGGGATGGGATGGCGTGCTCTCGCTAGCTGCACGTGATCGAACGCGGCGACGGGGCTTGCGACAATTGCATACCTGCCTAGGGAGGTGTGTATGCAAGCTGTGCACAGACGCATGTTGCATCAATCGTTCGATCGATGAAATACCCAGCGTTCACCGCATCTTCTGGGCTGTTTTTTTGTTTGCCTCAGACAATGGTCACTAACGTCATTCTAAGGCCTACCGTACACCTCCGAGGCGCCTGCAATGCCGACCATGACAGGACACATCCCGCAACACTACGAGCACGACAGTGCGCTTCAGATCGGCTTTGATGATCTCCAGGGATTCTCCCCCGTTACACAAAGCTTCAACATCAACGCTTATCGCACGCCATACCCCGAGAGCATCGCAACATCCACATCATCAGCCACATCGCCCGAACGCACCAATGCAAGTCTTCTCACCGATCCGGTTGTTGTCGAAGCAGAGGAGGACAAGCGAAAACGCAATCAAGCCGCTTCCGCACGCTTCCGGCAGAAGAAGAAGCAGCGCGAGCAGCAGCTCATGGAGACGAGTCAAAAGATGCAAGACCGTACTAAGAAGCTCGAAGCCGAAAACGATGGGCTGAAGAAGGAGAACATGTTTTTGAAGAAGCTCCTCGTCGAGAAAGTGGATCACATGAGCGATGAAGATCGGGAGCTGCTCAAGAAAGCCGCAGAAGGCGCGCTAGCTGGAGTAATTGGAAAGAAGTCTTGATTTGTTAGTTCCCAGGAGTATTGGAGTGTTCTCGACGGATGATGTTCTCTCACGTGGAATGATACACGGTGGATGTAATTGGAGGCTTAAAGCACATTTCACATGCGATGTTTTGGAGTTCATATACCATCCCTTTCACATTCTTGGCACGTTCGATTACGCTATGAGGGAAATACGCATTCAATTTGAAGACTAAGCAAGTGCTACTCCGGCGATACACGCTACCTATTCGCCGGCACCGATTTCGTTTGCGGCAAATAGGAAACCGATGCGAACACTGGGAAGGGTTCGACGAAACCTGGTCGAAACCCAGGCAGGCGCTGAAGGTCACGTCGTTGCGCATCCTTCAATCCATTCAAGGCCTCTTCAATATCTCCACTCATAAAAGCGTCGCCCCAAGCCTGGTATTGACGTGCACGCTCGGCGGAATCCGACCACGTGTTTGCCATTGTCAGTGCCAACAGGCACGTGCTGTAGCTTTGTGCGGGGCTGTTGAGTAATGTCGTCTTCAGTTTCCACCCCAGCTCACACACGTTTGCTATAATCTGAATCCGATCAGAAAGAACCTGATTCTCACGTTCCTTCATCTGTCCTTGAACAGTCTCGATAGCACCGGGTATATTCGCAGACCTCAAGCCCTTGAGTCCATGTCCGAAGAAGTACGACCCGAGTACTGAGTCACCTAAGCTCAGTCCTTCGCATAGGGAAAGGAATGATCTCAGCTTAGTTTGATGTACAGTAATATCCCTTTGAAGGGTTGGAACGGAAGTCTTCATGGAGTTCTCTGGTGAATCGAATGCATTGTGATGCAATAGCGGCATAGGCAGAAGATACACAATATCTGCGGCGCGATGTTGTTCGTGGAACGTCCTGGTACGCAATCGTATTGTCAGTCTCCACTCAGAGTATTCTCGAAGAAAGCTCACCAAGACCGAGTGAACCATGGGTCATCAATCATTCCCCATAGCGTTTTCTTGGCAGTGAGCATATAGGAAGATGTTTGCGAACAGGTTTCCGTATCCACCACTACATGGGAGAAATCTGGCAAACTCGTCCAACTATCTGAAACTTTTGAGAGTACAGCTGCAGTGATTCGGCTGGAGCCATAAATCCGATGCATGTCTTGCAAATGTTTCTCCACGTCGTTGGAATCGTCTTGATCAATACATTCCTGATCTATCCAGATGCGCTCAAGCTTCGCGGTTTTCGCGTACTGCACAACGCGATGGAACACGATTGGCGGGCACCTGAGGAGTCTGGGAGGCTTCTCCAAGTTGGTCTTGTCCCACACACGGTATTCCGGAAGCTTTATTCCGTCAAGAGGTTGTGAGTGAGCCCATACGTAAGATACTGTAATGTAATCGTAACGATGCAGGTCGATTAATCGAATTTCGCAAGAGGGAGTGAGGATGAAATCAAACGCTGTTCCACCTTGTGGATAAGGCTCTAGGAATCGAAGACGAAGTGGTCCTATTTCGTAGCCTTCGACAAGTGCGATGCGCTCGATGTCTTCGACTGCGGAGAGGAGCGCTTCTTTGTCTCCGTGAATCTGGCGGAATGTGAGTGCTCGGTCGTCTTGCATGATTGTGGGTGAATGCTATGTGGAAGGACGGACAAAATTCGTGAGGTGGCATGCTCAGCCTTGCAGGGTCGCACAGGTGGGCAGTGCCACCCGTTGTAGCGATTGGACGCCACATGGCTACCTGCAGCCACAGCGATCTTCATCGCAGTCACTCGTCACACAAACTTTCGAAATCCATATTGTCGATATGGATCTGAGCACTACATTCAAGAAGCAATCATTCAGGCTTCCTTGAGTTGGTACCTAGGTCCTCCATCGGACAGACCCCAGCCCCGCATTCGCCCGCCTCTAACCCATCTCGGCTAGCGCCGACGATTACTCACCAAAAGACTTACGTGAGCTTCCCCTCGGTCTTGCGAACACCCGAACTGCGATCTTACAAGGCTGAGGAACAGCCATCGCAATCTCATGTCCCTCCTGCTCGGCCATCGCGTTTTAACTGTATGGCTGACCAAGCTCGGTCTGCTCGCTCCTGGCCACCAGCGCGATGTTGTAATGCTCCAATGTAGTGGTATGAGAGTGAGTATGTGGTGTCCCGAGATGGTATATATGCAGGAAAGGTAGGCGATGAACAAAAACATTATCAACACATCTTCAAAAGCATCCAATACTCAAGTTCACTATTGGCTGTCCTTCAAACCTTGATTCACACGCTTCACACTCCACCTCATACACACTCATAATCTTCAGCCTTCGAGATGGCAGCTACGATGCGCGGATGGCAGTTCAAGTCCGCATCTGGACCCATGGAGAAGAACCTCTCCATCCCTTCCCCAGGCCTTCCGATACCCGTCATCAAGAAAGACGAAGTGCTCGTCGAGAGCCATGCGACAGCGCTCAACCCCATCGACCACAAGATCCTCGAACTCGGCCTCATCACGCGCCTGATCTTTTCAGGGCTGACACCTGGCTTGGATGTGTACGGCCGTGTCGCGAAAGTCGGCAGTAACGTCACAAGCTTCCAGGAAGGCGACATTGTATACGGCGGTCTCGTCCCAGGAGGCAAACATGGCGCTCTAGCGGAATACGTCCCCGTGCCCCAAAATCTGCTAGCGAAAGTGCCGATGGGCGTGGAGGGTGATGATGTGGTGTCTATGGCGAGTACGGGCATGACGGTATACGCAGGATTGAAGCCGTATGCTAGACCCGGCAACAAAGTCTTCATCAATGGTGGCTCGGGAGGAACTGGCGTGGCTGCAATCCAGATCGCCAAAATACTCGGCTATCACGTTACAGTGTCATGTTCAGCGGCGAACATCGAGTTAGTCAAGAGTCTAGGAGCGGATACAGTACTGGACTATACAACGGCACCAATCATCACACAATTGAAAGATACCGGCGCCATGTTCGATCTCATCTTGGACAATGTGGGGACACCGGCGAACCTCTACCGTGCTTCGAGCGCGTTCCTGCGACCTGAAGGCAAATTTGTACAAGTCGGCCTGGGCATGGATCTAAGCGCCGCAGTTCAGTTCTTTGGCAACAAATTGACTAGTTTCTTGGGCTGGGGGAAGAGAGAGTACATCTTCGTTACCGGAAATGCGAGTACCGCTGTGTTCGCACAGCTCGCGACATGGATGGAACAAGGCAAGCTTCGCGCGGTTATTGACTCTACATGGGAGTTCTCGGAGGTGCCGAAGGCGTATGAGAGGCTGAAGACAGGAAGGGCAAAAGGTAAGGTTGTTGTCCATGTGAAGGATGCTTGAGGCAATTGGGCATGTATCATTCTAGATTTCATTAGAGCGAATCGTAATATTAGATCTTCTTTCCACTAGTAGCATTTGGACTCATTCAATACATTCGAGGCCGATCATCTCGGATTGTTGCGTCTTAGCTATGACTTCGCGTTACATATACATTGCATGTCTCTATGCCAGTGGTCATGTCTGACGAACCATCTCAGCTACACTCATCCCCCATTCGCATTACCCGCAGCTATTGAGGTATTTGCATAAGCCCTGGAGACCTGTTCCAACCCACGATCAGCTTCCCACATTTAGGTGTGGTGCAAAATGACGGGTTCAATATACCCGACTTGGCAGCTGAGCTGTGGGAGCTTATATGTAGTACAAGTCTCCTCGCAATGGTGCGCAATGCGAAGAATCCGACAAGTTCCAATTTGGGAGTTATCGACTTGATGCAAGTAAGACATGAATGAAGGGGAAATGGGAAGGATGCCCAGAGAAAGACGGAGAATTGCGATCGTATTTCGGTTCGCGGATGCGAGAGGTCGAGAGATGAAGGATATAAAAGTCGGCCAAAGTTGAGTTTCAAGGAGATCTCAACGACAAGATCCAAATACTCCAACCCTACTTGCGCAATTCACAAACATCCACCACTATGAAGCTCGCCGCGTCTTTCGTCGCTCTCCTTCCGCTGGTTGTGGTCGCAACGCCAATTACTTCTCCCGACCCTGCCGCAGAGGCCGTCGCAGATCTCCTCCCTCGAGCTACGGTGTGCTACCTCAATTCCGACGCCCTCAAGAACGATCCTCAGGGTTGCGACACCAGCCCTACCAGCGGTGTCCGCCGCCGAGGTGTAACGGGTGGCGACCGCTTCAGCGTGAGTTGCACCAAAAGAGGCAGATGCGTAACAAGTGCGAACTGTGTCTGGGACTATGTTCCGGCTTGGAACTGTTACATCTGGGCTGGCTGGACTCAGCAAAACTGCGAGCGTAAGTGTGATCGTTTTGCTGAACTATGCTTTGTTGAGACGCGTGGATGTACTGACGCGAACAGGTGGGCTACCAACTTGCTAGTTCAAGAAGGTGGTCTTTAGTAGTGTAATGAGTATGGACAGAGTTCAAAGGATGCGATACAATATGGGGAATGAGTGACTTGAAGGATTGGGAACACACGTTCGCTTTGTTACTGTGGAGATCGGCGTTGGGGGTGAGACTACAAGAAGAGGCTATGATGAGAATGATCAATACAACTGGCTTCTTTCTCACAAGTCATGCTGATGTAATACTCCCATTTTCTTTCTGATGCAGAGCCCATCTCTTGTGTTTATTTTCGGCACACCAGACCCTGTCGGGGTTCCAGTGTTTGCTTATCGGACGGCTGTGTGTTACGAGTTAGGTACCCTTGGAAATATAGGCTCAACATGAGATGATCAGATAACATCTGATATAAGACGGCGGAGGACTGCTAGCATTAAATGAAGGCCGTGAAGAGAAGATACTCAGTGCTAAGGTCCGGCAAGATGCGGCATGACGTTCGGCTTGGCGAAGCAAAAAGTTCGGAAGCTTTCCGAAAATCAAGAGCGTCAAACTTTCAACATGCGCGCCTTGACGAGAAGCATACAACCTTTCTCCGCTGCTTTCACTCTTCCGAAACACGCCAACCGCGTACGGCTATCGAATGCGACTCCCTTGCCGTCATGGACGCGCTCATTTCACGCGTCGGCGAATCTGAGAGTTGTCGACCTCGCGTATCGGCTTCATGATGACTCGGGCAAGGCAAACGGAGATCCGATTGTGATTGTACATGGCTTGTTTGGGAGCAAGAGGAACAACCAGGGTGTTGGAAAGTAGGGAATCTCTCTCCAAATGTCATAGCTGGATTGGGACTGACATGATATCCCTAGTGCACTCGCACGCGTCCTCAAGCGTCCCGTATACGCCATCGACACGCGAAACCACGGCGAATCCCCCCACGATAAAGTCCACAACTACACCGCCCTCGCCGAAGACGTAGAGGCCTTTCTCCAGAAGCACGAGCTGAAGAATGCGACACTCATAGGCCACTCGATGGGCGCGAAGACAGTCATGACCATGGCGCTGAGGAACCCAGACTGCTGCGCAAACATCATACCAGTGGACAATGCACCAGTGGATGCGGCGCTATCAAGCGACTTCCCAAAGTACGCAGAAGGCATGCAGCACGTCGAGAGGTCACAGCCCAAGAGCCAAAAGGAGGCAGACAAGCTGATGGAGCCTTACGCAAAGGACCTACCAGTTCGCCAATTTCTATTGACGAACCTGATGAGGGGTGAGCCAGGCGCGCCGCTCAAATTTCGCATACCTGTGAGCATCCTCACTAAGGCACTCGACAACATGGCCGACTTCCCCTTCACCAACCCCGAGGAGGCCTCCTTCAGCAAGAGAGCTCTCTTCATCCGAGGCACCAAGAGCCACTACGTGAGCGACGAGACACTACCGATCATTGGTCGGTTCTTCCCTAGGTTCGAATTAGTCGACATAGACTGTGGCCATTGGGTCATTAGTGAGAAGCCCGAGGAGTTTATCAAAGGTACGCAGACATCGCCTCAATCAAATATCGGTTTAGCTAACATGTTCCAGCGGTGGTGGATTTCTTACAGGAGAAGGAGTAGATACCCAAACAGGATATAGGCAATACCACGTTATTATAGACACACCTACGACCAGCGGAACACGATGATCGTCTCTGTTGCATGGCAAAGCATCAGACATCAAATTTCACAGTGTTGAAAGCCGTCTTGGAGAACTGGTTTTATTGTTAATGAGCGACAGGAGAACCAAGATCTAACCCACCCGACTCAACAGATTCGTCTACGAACCTCTCCTCCACCGTACCGAACACCCTTCCACCATTCGCCTCAATCTACCCCAACTCGATATCCCGACTACAAGGACTTGTACGATCCAACCCTGCCAGAGAAGCATTGCTCTACTCCAGGCTGGACATCCACAAAGTTACCAGCTCCACAGCCCGTGTTCACGTAGAAGCGAGCTGCAATCTCACATTAGCCTGGTTCTGATTCCCCCCAATTCCTATCACATACTGGTTCTGGTGAAATCATTGATATACACCCTGAAGCTGCCGTATGGCGCCGTGTACGAGTTGTCCGTGCACGTAGAATTCTGGAAGAAAACGTTGTCCTCGAGCCAGGGCTCTTCGCAGCCCATACCGGCGTAGAAGCGGATGATAGCGACACCATCACCGGGAGCCTGACGCTCGACGACGGTAGAGGGGTTGGGACGAGCGCTGACGCTCGTGGCCGCGAGAGCGGTGACAAGGGCGATGAGGTTGGTGAGTTGCATTTTGGATGTTGCTGGATGCTGTATTGGAAGATGAAAGCTGGATGATGAGAAGACAATGGTATGAAGAGCCTGTCTCTTATACTTCTTCGCTGCCTGTCTCCCTTAGAACATCTGTACTAGCAGTACGTTGATGATGCTCTTGGTGGTAAGACCTAACTCCCCTTCAAGCTTCTCAGCAGTCGGTCAACACCGCCACCAACTGATGGTGTTGAGGTCATACGCTTCCAAGCCGCCACACATAACCTGATGGGGTGTCTTGAGAATCCACGAGCCTCAGATGTATGCCTCGCTGCCCGTATCGTGGGTCAGAAGAGGTAGCATTCCACGATGCGATACGAGATCTGATCTTGCATCCGTCTGCATCGTCGCATGTCCGAGGACCAGATTGGTAGGATTGTTCACATCACCAACGGAAATGCTCCCCGCGATCTCATCTTCGCTCGTGTACATGTGTTGGTGGATGTGGTAGTGGGAAGTCACTTGCGCATCTGACGAAAAGCTGACGGACTACTCTGAATCAACGATCTATACAGGGAATTTTCGTTCCGATCCTAGCCTCTCCATACCGCCTCAAACTCCAGAAATTCGCATTCAAACGCGATGATGGGGTAACAAAAGCTCCCTCATCTTTTATCTGGCCCTCTCTGGCCATCTACCGGATACCCATTGTCAACACCACTTCTACTTCTACGCCACATATAGGTGCAGTGTTGATATCAACGCCACCAGTTCTGATTAGCAATTCTCTGCCACGCTCTTGGGCTATGTATAAGCTGACGTCCGCACAGCGGAGTTCATTGGCATGACGCACTTGCCCGTGCGCGTGGCTGCTCACCAAGTCCACAAGCAGTAGGTCAACACAAAACTGCTGTCGCCATATCTGCATCGACTGCGATCCACCGTGCCAAAAAGTCTTCGAACCCTCGACACTATCAACACTTTCTTGAATCTAATCTAGAGCGGATGTTACGGCGACCAGATTACGACACTAACTGGATCAAATGCACAGGAGTGAATGCTTCAAGGACGCGAGCCGCAGTCGCTTAAGCAACATGCATGCAGACGCGACGGCCCATCGCGCTGACGCGACACGGGATGTGTGCTCGCCGCGACCTTCCGCTCTCAATCTAGACCACGCTGTGATTTGCCAGACTTGAGGTTGGCAGGAAGCTCGGTCGCCGGAGGCTTACTAAACGTGTTGCGCATCTTTTGCGATTGGATCGCAGTGTCGGCTCAGGTCTTGGTGCAAGTGCGCTTTGGCACAAGATTGCCAAGTAGACGGACTCTGCGCATGACATGGTACGGAATCGATGATCTGGACACGGGAAGATGGACATGATAATGCCAATTGATGAAATGACGCGTCGTACGCCTCATACCAGTTCTCGATTCCCATCACTTCCCGCATCAATCCCCCACCTTACACTTCCCCATGATCTAGTTCTTCCATCGCTAGCTCCTTCTCCCGAATCCTCCCTTGCTATCCTCATCTCCAATCCGTCTGGGCCGACGCTCGCTCCCAAGCTAGTCGTTCTAGAGCCTAGAGAAGGGCTATTGTGGAACTTAGGGTTGCGTGCAGCGTGCACGAGGTCCTGCATCTTTTTGCCAGGCATGGCGCCATCGCGAACGTACGATGTTAAGCCAAGGATGACGCAGATAATGGCGAATGCGTTGGCGAGGGCATACGGGATGAACAACCCGCAAGCTTTGTAGTCGTAGCGATTTACGTCGGTGGTGAGTCGGACAGTTGTGTTGGCCATGTTGCTGTGCTGATCAGCTCACGATTCGATCGAGAAGCGCTCGATTACTTACGTTAGTAGCCGGTTATGCATCATGCTAACCGTCAGATTGAAACTTAGTTCTTCGATGAGAACGTCCAGTGTCCGGTTTCTCGCCATAGCCTTATCTTGTAGCCTCTGATCACTGAGCTTGAAGGCCGTTGACATATTCTGCCCTTTGTATAACACCTTCTCTTCGTCGAACTCAAAGTACGCATCCAGATCGGCAGAGCCCAACAGACTAGTACGCTGTATAGGCGAGTCGATGACACCGTACTGAGCTGCTGCTTGTTTGTCTGAGATACTCGTGTCCTTAAGCCATGCTAGCTTGCCCACCAGTTGGTCGCACATAACCCACATGAATGCTGTGTACGCATGTTGAGTCATGTTGGAGATCTCATCAGGTCCCTCGTCTGGAAACGAGATCGTTTCACCGACCTCGTATTTTCCGGATACGTTCTGCAGCCCATGATACTGCGAGATCTCCAAACTGTAGGAGGCGTTGTGTGGTCGACAGATCTGGTACTGGCGGAATTTGACCCGCTCGCTTTGGTCGTTGATGATAGGCCGCAGAAACGTCATCCAAAGCTCATTCGCTGGTTTCGAAGGTACGTGTTGACGAGGATGCGAAACTGCTGTGAGACCTCCAGTGCTATTATGAGTTGGCACGAAGCTGAAGTACGCATTGTCCGTCTCTATAAGTGTGCCATCCAACGCCGACATTTCCTCTTGCAAGAAAGAGTCGATAGCATGCTCTTCCGTCTCATTGGCCTTGCCACATTTGATTACCGGAGCATAGAAATCGACGGTGTAAGCGGAATTGTTGAACGGCAGATCTAGTGGTAGTATCTCGCCAAAGGATGAAGTTGCGGTAGCTAAGAGATTCATGACGGTCCTTGGTCCAGTGAAGATCCGGTTCTTGTCATCAAAGAACTGTGTCGTACCGGACCGACTGGGTGGCGAGTAGGTATATCGATGCGATTCGTTGGCATTTGCGATAGATGGATGCGGCATGGCTGCGATGATGTTTTCGACGTTGGTGCCCTCAACTATGAACAGAGTTGCAGGCGTGAAGAAAGGCGGAAGCAACAACCCCCTTGGAATGCATTAGCAAAAGGTCGTTCGCCAAGGTCTACTACTCACCATGCCAGACAAGCCATTACCGATCCCACCTTCAGCCGCTTCCACATCTCCATGTTGAGCAAAGATAATACTGACGTGTCAGCCCCGAAAGCGGAGTTCAATACCTTGAAGGTCATATCTTTCTTCATTAGTGTCCTCCAAAGCCACTGGGTATATGCAGTCCAGACACTTGCGCCGAGGCAGATCTGAGCGAGGAAGGCAAATGCAGTACCAAACCTGGCTTTGTTAGTGAACCTTCTAACATGTATTCTTCGGAAGCGCACTACCTGATCTTCTCCTCTTGCTGATCAGCCTTTCCCACGATCTGGCCCCTGAGCTTCGGATAAAATACGCAATGCGCAACACTCATTGTCAGGCCAAAAAGAAGAAATAGAACCATGAGTAGTGGGGCTTTCCATGCGTGAATGCGACGTCCTTTCCAACCAGGAAATGTTCGAGAGTCTTGACGTACTGCTATCGGTCTGATTGCTGGAGATGGCGGTACTTTCGGTAGCAGGTGCGCATTAGACCGCGTCGAGCGGCTTTCATCCATGGCCTCTCGCGTTTCGATCGAAACGGTCTTCATCGATTTGGGGGTTTCCATTGCAGCAGTGTCTAAGAGCCTCTGCGGCACAATGAGATACGCTGGGTTAGGTAGTATCCGAACGCATGAAAGACCAAGCGGATGTCTGCTTCACTGAGTTGCAGGAAAAGTATCGCACGGAGATTGACACAACATATATAGCAGAAGTGGCACTGTAAGAAGCGAATGACCTTTAACTGTTTCTTAAACGGCACGTTGGGGGCCGCTTTATGGGTATAACATCGGTTTAGGCTGATGTATGTCGGGGAAGTGGTAGCAAGGCTGAGCTACATCTTTGTGAGAAGGTGTGTGCCTGCATATGCCTGGCCCTAGGAGTAGGCATATAGAATGCGTGCAAGATCGCGAACCCGTTGTTCGCTACAGGCTGCGCGTAATACCGAGACGAGGGTTACGAGACTTGAGCCTCATTCATGCCGCCTATCGGGTTTGGGTCCTCACGCTCGTGTGTATTGAACACAAGAAGGTTGCATTTCTTTACTTGGCGAGTTCTTATAATCAGAAACATAGGCATAGCCCTCTGATAAGACTGGGCAATGTTTGGAAGAAGATTGTAACAACGTGTGGGAGGTGGACGGTGGAGCTAGCTGCGGCAAGAGTTAGCGGTTACGTACAGTAGACTAAATTAAGAGGTTATACAATAATTATTTTTACTCTATAGAAAAATTAAAATCTTTACTTACTTAAAACTTACTACTTTAACTACTTTTATATAAGAGTGTAATACTACTATACTTAGTATATAAAATATTATTTTATATAGTATATATACTAATATTCTTAGCTAAATACTCTATTATTAACTTAGAACTTTATAAAAATAAACTTACTAAACTATATAGTATAGGCTATATAGTAGAAAAGTTAAAATTTTAGCTAGATACTAAGTACTAAATACACGCGTTTATTTATATAATTAAAAAGTAGCTAAAAAAGTAGAAGTTAAAAAGAAAAATAAAACTAGAAGTAGAAAAGTATTTTAAGTAGCTTATATAGTACTTCTTCTATAAGTTAAGACTTTATAATAAAGAAATACTAAAGAAGCTTAAAAATAAAAGCTATAATATTTTAAAGTAAATATTAATTTATATATAGTTCTAGCTTAGATTAAAGAAAAGAGCTATAAGTATAGATCTATAAGTAGTAGTAGATAAGCTTATATAGAGAATATATAAGAAAAAATTAAAAAAAAAATTCTTAATAGGTTTAGTAAAGGCTACCTTTATACTTATTTAAAATTAAAGAAAAACTATATTATAAGAGACTATGTATTTTATATCTATTATACGCTAAATTTAAAGAAAGTAAACTAGTGTAAAAGAGATATATAGAGAAGAAGAGAAAAGTATATTATACTAGAACTAAACTTTATATAGTCTATAGATAGCTATAATAAACTTAAAGAGTTTAGTATTAAGATATATACTAGAATAGATATATACTTTTAATATATTATATAGATATATATAGAAGTATTATCTAGTACTTTAATTAGTATTATATAATAGTACCTAAATACTATTAAGGTAGCTAGTCTATTTTCTTAGTATATATAGTTTAATTATAGTAGTAAAATAGTATATTTTTTATACGCGTAATATCTTTTTATAAAAAGTATTATTCTAGATATTAAGTTTAAGAACTACTATATATATAGAACTAGTACTATAAACTAAAGAATTAAGTCTTAGTAGGTAATACTATCTAAAGAAGTATTATTTTAGTAGAGAGTAAGTTTACTCTACTTTATATAGAGCCTTAACTAATAAAGTAGAAAGTTCTTTTATAGTTAATATAAGATAGGCTATATAGTTATATAAACCTAGTTAACTATATTACTATAATAGCTATATATCTTTCTATAGTAAGAGAGAAAGTGTACACCTTTATATAAATGTAGAATACCTACACTATCTATAAGTAGAAGAGAAAGCTAAATATAGTTATTAGTAAGTTTAATAAGCTATACTAGCGGCTAAAAGTGTAATAGGCTGCGTTTAGAAAGGTTCTTAGTTAGAAACCTTAGAAACCTAGTCTAGTTTTAGCTAAGCTTAGAAAACTCTTCTAAAGTATATAGTAGTCTAGAAAGTTCTTCTTTCTAAGACTATTAAATTTATCTATTACTTTTTTAGTATCTACTCTTAAAGTTAGCTTTTTATAATTAAATTTAATTAATACTTTAAAAAAGTTTATAGAAACTCTTTTACTATAGATATAACTTTATACACTTTAGTAGAGAATATAGTCTAGTATACTATTACTTTAGTAGAGTAGAGTAATAGCTAAGAGTATATTACTTAGTAACTCTAGTTTATATTAGACACAGAAATAGACGCTAATAAAAGATAGACTAAACTTTAGCTAGTTAAAGAGATGCTAAGAATATAGACTAAATAAATATTAGTTTTCTTTTTCTTAAATATATTTAATACTAACTGATTTATAGAGAATAATACTACTTTTCTAGAACTACCTATAGAACTAGTAATTACTTAAGAAATACTAAATCTTCTTTATTATAAAATTACGCAACTAAAAAATAATATATAATATAACTCTTTTTTTCTAAATATACCTACCTTTTTTTTTTTTTTTACTCTAACTAATATATACGCTATAAAAGCTAAATAAGCTAAAGCTAAACTTTTTAAGCTATAAAACGTCTAAGCTAACTTATTATAATTTATTAAGATTTTAGATCTTTACCTCTTTACTAGAGACTAAAGTAACTACTAAAGATTTAAACTCTAGATAGTAAATAAGCTATAATATAATAGAGAGAAGCTAGAAAGCTAACTAGAGTATATCTTCTCTAGGTTAATAGATAGAGTAGTAAGTATTACGCTATCTTAGATAAGTTATTTTAAGAAGTTAAGTAATATAAATATATTTTAGAAGTTTCTAGACTAGTAGTTTTAAAATAATATATTAAAGAAAAGATTATAAAGAAAGTTAATAATATTTAAGTAAAGTAGTAAAGTATACTTAAATAAATTTAATATAGCTTTTATAAAGCTTACCTTTAATACTAAAAATTTTTATAATAAGTACTTTAAGATATAGTACCTTAGTGCCTTAAGACTAGACTTTAAGTAGCTTATAATACTTATAGTTACTCTAGATAACTAGACTATTATATAGCTAATAAATTATATAAGAATTATTAAGAAAAACTAGTACTATATAAAGCTAGAGTAAAACTTTAATAAGTTTTAAACTAGATAGTTAATAAATAGAGGTAACACTATAGACTAAGAGCTTACTAAGGTATATATAGAAAAAGTTAGTAAGAACTTTTTAGATAAATTACGCGTAAAATAAATAACTAATAAGAAGTAAATACGCTAAAAGAAGAAGCGCTTATATATATACTATAGTAAAGATAGATATTATACTATATAATATCTCTTACTACTAGCTATAAACCTTTTAGGCTCTACTTGTATTAAAATAGTAAGCGCGCTATATATTAAAGTAGAAGAGAATAGTAGTAATAAAAAAGTTTCTGACTTAGAAAACTAAACTCTTCTACCTAAAGTTATAGCTAGAAAAATAAAAAGTTAGAATAGGTAGAGAAACTAGTAGAGTTTTAAAGAAAATAGCCTATTATAGTAGAATATTAATATAGAGTAGAGTAATAAAACGCGGTTAGGTAACTTTATATAGTAATCTTAATATAAGTGTATTTTCTAAATACCTTATATTTACTATAATATAGTAGTAGGTATTATTAATAAAACTCTCTTTATAATATTTACTATAGATATAGTATCTTAATAATAATAATATACTTATAAGAAGTAATAGTAAAAGAGAGTTCTTTAAAGAACTTAAAAGTAAACTTAAGAGTAGTAATAAGTAAGTAGTAGAGCTATAGAGCTTATAGAAATATTAAAAGTTTAGAAATATACGTCTAGATAAGCTTTTAAAGCTAGGTAGATACTAATAGTAATAATAGGTAGCTTTTATTAGCAGAAGAGCTAGAAGTTAGAAAGTAGTATAATACTAAATAGAAGCTGTTCTATTAACTATAGAACTAAGTAGATAACTATAGTTATAATACTCTTTAGAGAGGTTAATACTATAGTTTAGTAGATAGCTATCTTACGTAACTTCTTATAAAAAAGCCTACGTACTTATAAAATACTTTTTTTTATCTTATATCTTAAAATACTTTTAAAACTAAATTCTCTAAAATATTAGTAATAATTAAAATTAACTTCTTTTTTAAACTTCTAAAGAACGCGTCTATTCTATTTAATACTCTAGCTATAGATAACACTAAAAATAC